AAGAAGAAGTAAATTTGTATTTTCTTGAGTAATGTGTGTAAGCCATTAAATCCGTTCTTGCATATTCTGATGACGTTACAATCATAAATTCCCTGAACGTCACTATTTCCTGTGTATTGCACTATATCCTAAGGCCTAAACTGCCAGTGGCCTTGGTGGATCATGCAAATATGAAACACAGAGTAAATATAGCTCTACAGTTCATGCTGTTTCCTCCATCCACTCTTGTTAGAAATACAATGGCATCCTATTATTCACAGGGCTTTGGCAAAACTGGAAGAAAGGCGTCCAGTGACATTCTTTGTACAGTATAGATCAGAAGTCTACCTATGCTTATCATCATTTTTACGAAGTGTATTTATTATACAGGTAGTTTGATTAAATGGCTAAAATTAAATACACCTAAAACAGTTTTCCAAAAGCTTGATTTTAGCCTGTTTATTCCAGAATAGTTAGGATGTTTAGTGTGTGTTTGCTATTTTTTTTAACATCATTCTATTGCTAATTCTTAACATTGTAGCTGTTCATTTGAGGTAAATTGAGGAATGTAGAGGCACTCTCCTCTTTGTGCCGTATACCAATACCACTAATAGCAAAATCTTTTGTTAAGTATTACCTTGATTCCTCAAAACAATCTTTTTATCAATGTGATCAAATAGGTCAACCTTATTCTCTTTATCAACAAACAGCTTCTCTTGACACCTGAGTGTTTGGATGGCTATGAATGTCAGGTTTTATGGTATCTTTTATATGTATCTGTATTGATCAATTTGATTTAATGATTGCTTCTCTAAGAACAGCTTCATTAGTTATTACTTATTTTTGGACTAAACTTTTTTGTCAATTTGTATACAGAGAGTGTTTGCAAAATGAAATTTCTTAGCAGTGAAATGAACATTTCCACTTTAAAGTGGAGCAGTAATCAAAATGTAAACAGTGTAGGAGAAAAGGAAAACCAGTTTAAAGACATGGTGCAAAGGGCATTGATATGGAAGTTTCAGAGCACTGCAAAATAAATATATAAATATGATGCAAAAAGCAGTAGAACACTGTCTTGAGTTATATTTAAAAGGATTTGAAAATTTGCCATTTAGTGCAAATATGATGTTTATAAGTGTGATGCAGAGTCTTGATTTGAGAATTTATTAGAGTTCAACAATCTTATGGCAGTGGGGGGAAAGCTGTTGTAGAACCTACTGGTCCTGCATCAAATGCTACACAGCCTCTTCCCAGAGGGCAGCAGGGAGAACAGTCCATGGTGGGGGTGTGAGGGGTCATTGATGATGTTAAGGGCTTGTCAAATGCAACGCCTTAATGAAATGTCTTTAATGAGAGAAGACAAGCCCCGATTAGAAGCACTCTTCTCATGTTCTTCCAGTCTGAGGCGCTGCAGCCTCAGCACCATCCAGTGAGACAGCTGGTCAGAACGCTCTCTGTGGTGCTTCTGTAGTAGGTCTTGGATGGGTGGGGGCAAGTGGGCTCTCCTCATCCTCTGTTGGAAGTACAAGCACTTCTGTGCCCATCATCAGGGTATTATCAGCTTGCTGCCTGTCTGGTTGTTGCTGAATATCATAAACAAATTCCTTTTAGTCATAGTGGTAATTAGAGCCCCATTGACATAATTGTTTCAAGAGGGCATAATCTAAAAACACAAACCAATTTTGCTAAATGTGTAAATTTTGGACCAGGGCTGCATAGTGGTGCAGTTTGTAGCACTGTTGCCTTGCAGCTAGAAGGTCCCAGGTTTGATTCCTGGCCCCTGGTCTTTCTGCATGGAGTGTGCATGATCTTCCCTTGCTTGCATTGGTTCTCTCATCATGACAGGCTGATTGAATTGTGTGTGTGTGTGTGCATATGTTGCCCTGTGATGGACTGGCCACCTGTCCAGGGGTGTACCCTGCCTTTCGGCCATACACTGCTAAAAATAGACCCCAGCTCAACCGCGACCCTAAGAAATTAAGTGGGAGAAGATGTATGGATGGAGAATCTAAGTTGTAGGATAAATGTATCAGGTAAAAAATGGATTGTAAGTGGCCTACCCCGCTCATGCTTCTCACCAGAAGGAGGCGGTAATGCACCTGTAAATTGTTTGTCCTTTGCTATTAGAATTTACAAGAAGAAGAAGGGTGAACCTATGTAATTGATCCTAGTATGTTTAATTTTGTTTGAATTAGAGAAAATTCATACTTCTTTACTAATATTGAGTTTTCTTTGCAACATTCAGAAGACCTTGGAAACTAAAGAACACTGTGTGAACTACAAAGCAAGGTAGTGGCGGCATGATGCTCTGGCCACTGTTCCGCTAGCGGTGCTTTTCAAAGAGTAAAAGTGGTATCTTTGGACAGGAGCTAACCAATTCCAATACCAAAGGAGTATTAAAGGACTAACTGGTGAAAACTTGGACATAACTGGGTGTTTTAACAGAGCAATGATTCCAAATGCAAATCAAAACTAGCTTTGAACACAATAAAGTCCCATTCTTACCTGAATTAGAAATTTCCCAACTAAGGGCTGGGAAACTAACCAATCAAACCAGATGTGAATAAAAAATACTCACAGCTACAGTTGTGTTATAATTTCCTTCTAAAAAAGTAGTGAATACCATTAAAAACCCATTAACAGTCTAAAATAAATATATAGGGCTATGATGAGCGTGAGTCCACTACTGACTGGACTTGTAACTGCTCTTGTGACTTTAGATAGAAGCATATTCATGCAATGTTTGTTATAAGAAAGAAAAAAAATCTTGCTCTTATCCACCTATTTCGTAACAGTGAAAACGCTGTGTGGCTAAATTAGCTATTTTTGGGCCTTCGTTGTGTAATTAGGCCGAACTGCCATTGGGTATTGTTAAGAAATGTTCTCAAACACGAATGCCCATCAAAGGTCAGGACTCTTAGAATAACTCCTGTGATATTTAGATATACCTTCCTCGGTCCTGATAGGTCGATTGGATGTGATGTGGATCTAAAAAATGTATGAACCCATACTCCTTAAAACTTGGACTCAAATTGTAATTCAGTGTTTTTGTTACCCGATTTTATGTGAAAAAAGAGCAAAAAACTAATAGTGTTGATTCCTGTCAGACTTAGTGTAGGTGGGCAGCTACATCTCGGTAGGTTTGCAGTTGTCCTGTAGACCTTTTATTTGCAGACACTGAATTAAACAGAACACTGTGAGATGTTCGAGGCTTGTGATATTAATTTATAATCTAATTGATTGGAACCTCTCCACATTCTCTGATCAGGGTTGAATCAACCACATATAGACTCTAACTAATTGAGCAACTTTTGAAGACAAGTGGTGGTCTGTGATATTGATTTATATATAAAAAAGAGATAAGATGAACCGCATATGACCTTATATGCGTATATGTCTTTTATTGTACATTGAGATACTAAATCACAGTCTTAATAAGAAGAAAATATAATAAAATTAGAGGTTGTATTGTAAAAAATATATGTAAAAGGTTTAAGGGCCGTAAATACATCTGCAGAAAATGTCCCTGATTATTTAGTTGATTTCCAAATGTATTCATTTTCTCTGGTAATAAAGAAATGCTATGAACTTGCAGGGGTAAATGAATGAGTGCATGCAATTTCCTAAGCCAGTGTTTGAACCCTGAAGTCAAATAAAGACTTGAATCACATAGTTAGAAGTATGTTGTGCCTGATTCAAATGCCAGACCAATGCATGCTGTTCAAGTTGTTTTTTTTAACCTTGCAACAAGATTTCTTTCTGAGGAAGTTCATGCTGATTGGTATACAGCTTCCTACTGAGATATTCATTTAATTGTAAAGTGTTCCGACTGCCCAGATGTCTATGATCGAAGACTTAACACCTGATTTCTCACATAACCTCAGAAAGGTACAAAACCCAGAAATAATTGGTGAAAAATCCCTGAGCAATAACCACTGACTTATGCAACCATTTAACAACTCATGGTATTATTCTGGCTGAATCTATGGACAATTTTATTCCATAGTATTAATTTATTTCATTTGGTTTGTTTCCTGGCCTTTAGATATTTACATACAGTTGATTGATGCATGCAATAACTGTCTTGTTGGAACATATTGTTGTTTTCAGATTGCTGTTTTTTTTTCCAGAAGAAAGAATTTAAAGCAGCTGTATCATCATGAAAAAAATGGTACATCAATCATTTTGCATCACTAGATTTGTTCCAATGCTAAAAACAAATATTTATTTTATCCAATAAACACACAAATGAAAGTTAACAAGACAGGACACACGTGGACGTATTAAAACAGACAAAACTATGGAAGAGAATTAGGGCCACTGGAAAAAAAATGTTAACTTATTTTTTAAAATATTATGAATTCTGACTTTTTTTCTCAGAATTCTGACTTTAATCTCATAATTCTGACTTTAATCTCAGAATTTTGGGTCTTAATGTAGATGGACACCATTAAGGAAGAGACGTGGGAGCACTCAGCTTCACTGACAAAGATGTGAGTTTTTTTATAGAGTTCCAGTAAAACATTGGTGGAAATGAGTAATTGGATGACTTTTTTCCTGCCCGAGGGGTCCCCTGTGATGCCATTTCATAAAACAAGATAGCTAGTTCAGTCTCTAAAACAGACATGGCTACGGCTTGATGCTAACAGGTTTATTAGCTGTCAGAATAATTTAGAATTCTGAGATTAAAGTCAGAATTGTGAGAAAAAAGTCAGAATTCTGAGATTAAAGTCAGAATTGTGAAAAAAGTCAGAATTCTAACTTTTTTTCTCATATTATACTGAAATAAAATTTTAAAAATCAGTTAACTTTTTTAATTTTTTCAGTGGCCCTAATCCTCTTCCATACAAAACAGCTTGATTCTACTGCGTAATTATTTGCATAAATCATGATTCAGGATGAGCGCTGCGCATCGTCAGGGATATTGCGCGTAGATTATGGCTCCTGTCCTCAGACAGGGGGCGGGAGAGAGAAACAGCCCCTTAAGCAGCAGCAGCAGTAGCAGCACAGCTTAATCAGGCTGGTCCAGGGCAGAAGCCACACAGCACTTTGCTCTCTGATAAGACTCCTCGGAAGAAGAAGAGCGTAAACCACCATACTGAGCTGCCGCTTTACTTCTCATCACAGGAGCTGGATTTTTGGAGACGCATCACGGTTTATGGAGGATGGACATTAGATTGTGGGAAATAGAAGCTGATCTTTAATTTGGGTGTTTTTGGCTTTTTTCTTTTTAAATAATAAGGGATACTTTAAAAACTTTTTAATTGTATCTGTTCCTAATCGTGTCTCTTCGTTACTTTTGGACCCTTTTTACACTGGAATGTCCCTTTGTGTTTTTCTTCCTTTATTTTATTAAGTTCTGGTCTTTTTCTCTGAGAAATTTGAATGCAGAGATGCTTTATCAATAAGTTTAAAATATATAATAGGTAAAAAACATACAAAGAAGTAACAAGCTGGAGCTTTATTATCTTCGAGGATTTACTTTTTAAGGAGGACTAAAAGAGTTTGGAGAACCTTTTCGCACATTCAAGGGGGGCAACGCAGCTGGACAGAGCTCACAGGCGCGCGCAGGTCCGCGAGGCGAGCCGCTGTTCACCCCTCCCCGCGCGCCGTGCTGAGGAGAGAGGCTCGCTCGCGCTTCCATAAATGCCCGGTCCGTTGGAGAGGCTCGAGGCTGGGCAGCAAGATGAGCTCGTGGGTACAGCTGCTGCTGCTCGCGTTGCTGGCGGCATGTGCGCGGTTTGGTGTGGCCGAGGTAAGAAAAAAATAATAAAAAATCATAAAAACTTCCCACAATATTAAACTGCTGCACCATCACCAAGACAAAATGAATATAATATAAACAGACAAAAATGTATATATTTATTATTAAATAATATTTATCACCATTTAATTTACAAGCAAAAAACTTTTTAAGTGGGCTACAAATATGAAGCTCCCTCTTTTAAGTTTTACCACGTTTACATTTAAAACGGCCCCTTTTTAAATAATTTGCTGCACCTGTTTCATCACAATTTACTATTCATTACATTTACTATTTTTTATGCATTTATTACTGTTTTCAAGGCTGCACTTAAAAAAATGAAATTGTGTAAAGCTGTTTTAAACGAAATTTCTTTTTGTTTACACTGGTGTATACAAAATGACAAAATAAATCTGTGAAAGTCTAAGTCACAATTCTAAAATGAAATGTTTCCATGTGAGATGCTTAGGTGACACAGAAAACCTCCCTTATAGACCCAAAGAAACCCTTTGGGTGATGTATTAGGAAAAGAAAAGGGGGAGGTGAGGGACAGGAGTTAATTTAAAAGCATCTCCATGTGGCTAGACAAGATGCCTTCATAAACTCTTATTAAACTGTTGAGTTATAGACTCCCTTAAGACCTGGGTTAATTTAATGCCAATCATTTATACAGCTTTGTCTCAAAGAAATAGTTAGTTAGTATTTTCTATCATAAAGACTACCAGCTATTGTGGAAATTACTTGAATTAAAGAATAATACAACAGAGCAATGTATGGGATAAAATGAGTGGTTTTAATGAATACAATGTTATATCTGCCCTTTTTTATTTTCAAGGTTTTGGGGCCTCAACAGTAGAACTTACATGAATGTTTTGGGATAATATGGGGAAGCTTGAATACCAGGAAAGACACCTGGCTCCATTCATTGAATAAAGTCAGTTGAGCATGAGGGAAATCTAACAGTTCCCCTTAAATAGAGAGAGTTTGCCACTAACTGTAGAGGGCAGCCGGACCCACTACAGGTTAGGGCATGGCATGGATAGAAACCTAAAAACTAAAAAACAGTGGAAGGCAGTGTGCCAACTGCAGCACAGAGGTTTGTATGTGTTTAATTTACCAAACAGCATTGAAATGGTCTGAAAAATCTGAAAATAAAGACCACATTATCATAACATCTATTCAGACAGCAGACCATTAGATTTAGATTATAGAGTTCATTTGATATGACAGTGTAGGCGCTCATTAAAATATTGCCTTTCTGTGCTGATTTTAGGACCAATTCATTGGCTGAACTAGCTATGCACACTGCTGTTCATGAAGTAGAAATACCATTTTACACTATGTGATTTTGCTCCCTGTATGAACTAGACATAGTAGTACAACCCACAGACTTTTACATTAATTATTAAATTTGCAATCCTACCATTTCTTATTTTACCCTGTTCAGGAGGTTCAGGTTGTTTTATGGCTCAAAACGTCTTTTGTCTCTTCTCTAACCCTAATGGATCTAAGTCTTGAGTTTGTGTTTTGTGGAAGATACCAAGTTTATTGCCCCATTATCTACCCATCTGAGTTCGGACGGATCTGGGATCAGTTAACCGTTAACCATTTACACATCATGCTAGCATGGTTCCTCGCCTCCTAGTGACGATTCACAGTACTACTGCTAGGATTGAAGGATGGAATCAAGCTAGTCAAAATGGCGGCGCCCGTAACATTCAGGAAGTTATGTTTCGTTATAATTGTGATATGTCGTTGTTTGCGGAGACTCTGAACAAGAAGGCAGCCTTTGGTCGCACCACGCTCTTTTAAAATGTGGTGTTAAGAAAATTTTGATTGTTCTTCTTCTGCATTATGGCAGTTGGCAAGCAACTCACTGATATGCATTACTGCCAACTACTGACAGCTGACTGTAAGGAGATGAGCTCTCTGCTCATTCGCACTTTGTTATCAGAGAGCCGAGCCACAACTGAACCGTGCCAAGCCCTACTGATGAACTAGTACCAGTTTTGCGCGGCTCGGTTGTGTCTTCACTCTCTGGTTCAGTTTGCGTGCCATTTACACTCAACAGTTATCTCAGTTGCCGGGCTCGGACTGATCTCGGCATGGTTTCAAAAGGGTAGTGTAAACTGGACCTATGTCCCAACAGCATTCAACCACATTTTATGTTACCAGAATAACTCATCATTTCAGACTGCTGATGCAGAAGAAAAACCGATTTCTGTAAATTTGGGTTTCCACTTTCAATCAACACTTGCTTCATCATAATAAATCTTTTTTTCCCAGCTTTTTTTATTGTCATTACACTGTCACAAGTACAGAGCACTGAAATGAACTCTCTGCATTTAACCCATCCCCTTGGGGAGCAGTGGGCTGCCATTGTGCGGTGGCCGGGGAGCGGTGTTACGTTAAAGGTCTTAGCTCAGAGACCCAGAGTTAGGGTGTGGAAAAAATCGCTTTGGCAATAGATGTCAGGATTTTTGGCTGCCTGATATAATATTGATCTTTTAGTTCCTAGTATCGATTTTAAAGCAAAACATTTTTACCTAAAACGGAGGGAAAATGGGCTACCTTTGTACCGCTGTGCGGCGCAGCGCTGTATCTGTAGTTGAGGCAGACACACTGGAAGACATGGACTGACTCAAATCCCAAGCAACATGGATGCCAAAATAACTGTTCATTCAAAATAATCTGATAAACATATACAGAGGTTGCTTTTTTATCTATACATTCAATTTTGATTGCAGGAAGAATCGCAATATATGGTGATATTGCAATATAGTGATAATATCGTATTGTGACCCAAGCATCATGACACGCATCTTATCGCAATACATCCCAATACTCTCATCTACCCAGAGTGGCAGTTTCTGGGAGTGGGGCTCGAACTCATACCCTCAGGATTCTAAGATCTATGCCCTAACCTCCCCTAATGAAATCTGCTGATTAAAAGAAAAGCAACAGTAAAAATACAATGCAGCGTGAGAGATCGACCTAGTCTGCTCAAACAGGAAATCTAAACCTCACCAAGGGTCCGATGCAGGTCAACTGACGCCTGACCAAACAAGAAAAAGATTTTTCTGAAGAAAAGTCTACAACTGGCTTGATTTTATCATCTGTTTAGCTTCCGCTGCAGATTTAATCTGGGCAACCGAGGCAGGCGAGTGTTCTCCACAATGATTAGTCTTTGCCACTGACCTAACTAAACTGGATTGAATTGGGCTGCAAATCAGCCAAGCCTGTTATGGGAAAAGGCGTCTTAGACTCTAAGAGATAAGACACCTCTTTTATTCTGCTATTGAAGGAACATAAATGAGACACATTTCTACAGGAATGTAGTATACCATCATTTTAGAAACCTCACATAGAGGTAGATGTTTGATCTGTGAGAGGTAACTTCAGCTTCCTGTCATCAAGCTTTCTTCTCATTTTCTATCGTTAAGCAGTCAGCACGTAGAAAGGAAATTTCAAATTTGACGCTGCTTTATAGGGGAACGTTGACAAAGCTTTGAGGTATACAACCAGGAATTCCCCAGGTCTAATTTTAAACATCAAGGATTCACAGATGGGAAACGATCGCAACTGCGTGTTCTGTGACTTGTTAAAAGAGAAAAAAGTCAGGGAACATGATGTCTTATATGTTCTGGGTCACAGATGAAATGTTCTGGATCTTCTGTTTCCAGGCTAAAAGGTAAACTATGACAGTGGAATTAATTAACCTCCCAATCGTTCACTCGATGCTGCGATGCGCACGTGTTTGCACGCTCTCTGGGCCTGCATGTGAAACCTCCCACATGTGCCGTGGCTGCTGCTGCACTGCCGCCAGCAAATTCGACCCCCTAATTATCTACGATTAGATGTTCTCCCTCCACCTCCTCCTCCTCCTCCCCTTTTGGGCTGCAGCCGCTGCCTGTGCCTGGGATTCCTCAGGGCGTCTGCAGCCTCTTTGGGGAGCTGGGACGTTACTTTAGGTGATAAAGACTGGTTTATGACAAAATTGGAGGTTTTAAATGGTACAGAAGTTAAAGAGTGGAGATGACAGTATAAATATTAGTAGACTTGCAGGCTACCATATAAATGACAGAAGCTTTTTTTTGCTATATTTACTCCATAAAGAATTGTAAAATTGCACACGTCCTTAAACCTTTTCAGATTTTATGATCATTTAAATGTGTGATGGGTTTTTGTATAAAGAAAAAATGCTTTTGCTAACTCTAAATGAGCTAAGGCTTGAGACTAAGTTGGAGGTTAAACTTCAACAACCCTAAATATGGAGTTTTAGCTGCAGTTTCTTTGTTCAGATCAAATTTGAGCCAAACAAGAGTCAGTATACTGCATGTTTTAGATGTTCCCTAATTTCACACACATTCATGAAATTAGGCTTCTGCAGATTTTGATCAAATAAAGAGACTTCTATACATGCAATGGGTATCTATTCATGTTTAGATTAACAGTGCTTAGAAACATTTAGGCTAAAGCTTGTGGAAACAGATGTTTTACAAAGAGCTGACTTAAAATCGAATCAAAGTGTCACTTTATTTCTGTTTTCCCCCATTCGGAATGTAAACTGTTCCTCTATTAAAGGAAAAACTACTAAAATAAGTGTGTAGATGCAAACTGACAGAAAGTGGAAGAAGTATGCTGCGTTCTGTTTGGCACAGATGGGATGAAATGACTTTACTTGTAGAGTTTGGTGTGAAAATATCTGATAAAATCCACCTATGAACACATGCTTCATTATGGCTGTCCTTTTCATCGCAGTCGCACATTTACCACTATTAACGCGTGTTTACAGTCTCTGACAGCCTTCTCTGCATCTGTTTGTTTACCAGATCCGAGGTGTTTATTTAATATTTCCTGCTTAGACACAAATTGCCGTGACAGCAGGCACCACGGCGAACAAAAGGCACTCACCCTATAATTACCATCAAACACAATTAGCCGAGCCGGCTGGCTCGCTCCGTAGGCAAAGAGAGGAAATAATCATGACGAGTCCTCAGGGGCATCGGTGAGCTAGTGGAAAAGGATGCGAGAGGTATACAGCGGGCATTTCCCTGCTGTATTTATTTGACTCTTTGGAAAGTCAACCAATAATGGGGGAATGTCGATGGGAGTATGGGGTGGGCTGGGTTAGTGTGCATGTTCATGCATGGATGGCTGCTAGCTGCTGGGATTCATTATATTCTTCACGAGCTCAGTAAAACTACTGAGTTACATTTACTGGGCTGCAATCATTAGATGTTTGATTGCTGTTTGCAACATAATGACTTCTTTTGAATGTTTTTATTAGTTGAAGTTCTCTAGAAAAAAAATGACGAACTAAGTGGACTCATTTTAGGGCATTTTAACTGAAGTTAGGGAGATCCCCGACCCACGTCTAATCCTCGTCCATTTCAGCCTCTCTCTTATTCATCTATTATTCCCCTTTTTTTTTATCCAGATGCACCTCCCTTCTCTCATCCTCTCCATATCACTCCTTCCCCCACTTCCTGACTCCTTGCCTGCTCCTTTGACCCCTAAATGTTAGCAGATGAGAGGACACAACGCCAATAGTCATTCACCATGCTCTTAGTGACCATTGTGTGTCTGCTTTGGTTAATTCCCCCCTCCCTTGCAGGCTGTCTCTCGCCTATTAATGACCAAGGAGGGGGTTAAACCCACAGTCAAATCTCTAGAATCACAAAGTAGAGTTGTTCAGTGGTTTTTTTGGTGAGATCTTCTGGGAAGATTTGGTCAGATGCTCTTAAAGACAAGCGTAGTTGTGGAAGTGATGGAGTTTTAGTTTCTCTTACTCTGATATAAAGGCTGCTTTAATGTTATGAATGATGCACAACATGCATTATCCTGTTTTATCTGTTTGCATTATGAGTTCAAAGTCGTTTATTTGGGCTGATATGTTTGTTTCAGGAGGACGCTCTGCCTGCAGCCCTGGTGGAGCTGGTTAGAAACAGTCCCATTGCTTCCATAGAGGACCTCCAGCTGCTGCTGCTCTCTGACTCCGTAGGTAAAGACCCAAAGCCTTTTTTCTTAAACTTTACAGACACATATATAACAACTATAACCTTTTGCATCTAAATCCACTAACACACCTAAACAGAGCCTTAAAACTCTCAAGATCCCGCTGTTTTGGTGTGCTTTTCAAAACAAGTATTTTCACATCTCTACCATTTATGTTTTACCCCACATATGAACTGATGGCCTTTTTGTTTTTGCTTGCTACCTCTGGGTAGCAAGCATTAGTGTATGTTGCAGCTCTTTTGCCTTTTATAGGTAAAAATAATACCCTAAACAGAAGTAGGCTTTGTGTTGAACGTTCTTTAATTCATAGTAAAAATACAGCTGCTCCCGCTTTCCATTTTTGCAGTTATTACTTGCACTGACTTTTTAAAACACGGCCTTTAAATCATATGGGTTCAGTAATAGTAGGGACAGAAGCACACATCGGGTAGAGAAGACTACAAAATAAAAGCACGTGTTCAAAGTGGAATATGCCTGACTAGTACTAACATTTTAGCATATTAAAAATCACAATTTCTTTTTTATTTCCCAAAGCTCAGTGCATTCTTTATCAGCTCACTTTCTCTGAGTCATACAACAGGAAACAACTCAAAGACTACTTCCTTTCCTCCTTCCGAATAACTGTCTTAAATAAAGAGACAAAGTTTTACCCATAAATGCCCTTTACACAGGGTTCATAGTAACAATCTGGTCGGAATCACAGTGTAATTTAATTTTGCCAACCAAAACGTTTATATCAACACTGGTCAAATGTTTTTTCCTAGACATGGTGGCATAGGGTTGATATATATGTGGGCCTTAGCTTGTCCTGCTAGCCACTCATACCAAAAAGTCTTATTTTTTTTAGATATAACATATATATTTTTTCCATCTGACAAAGATTTAAATTAGGCTTAAATTAAAGAAGCTTGACAATTTGTTCTGTTTCTTCCCAATAAGAAAACACCCCTGTTTCTAAACTGAATATCATGTAGAACAAATCATTGAAAATGTTTATTTTAGTCAATACATTCTAGGTAAAGGCCAATATTAATGTTTGTCTCTGTTTTTCAATGTATTTTAAGTAATATTCAGTCTTTGACAAAGCTACTTAAAAAAACATGACCAAATAATTGTCACTTCATGATGACCTTGATCATAAATGCACGGGATTACTCATAGATCTTTGACACAAATTGATGCAGTAAACAGACTTTCCATTCATCTTTTTTTATGTAAAACCTTCAAAGCAACCATTATTTCTGATAAATGATCGAATCATTTTGGTTCTTATTGTGTTCTCTATATAGAAATTACATTAACCACATTTTGTAGTAGTTTTCCAGTACCGTACTTAAGGTTAATGCAGCCCAGGATTAACTCTATGCTCCAGTTGCTGCTGTCCCTTCTTAATAGGAGAACCTTTAACTGTAGAATATTTAGTATTTCTTAAAAATCTTTGCATACATCACTACCAAAGCCATCCCTTTTACATGGCACATACGTGACACATACATAATGTATTTTGTTTGTTCAAATGGGATAAATTATGTGTGTGTTTTTTGTCTCAGATGAGGAGGAAAGTAACTCTGCTGCCAATGGAGGTCACAGACTCCCACGGAGCCTCGGTTAGTCAAACCTCTTTTCATTTAGTTTCAGTTTGGAAAATCAATTATAAGACAAGTTTCTGTATAGACTCAGTTTTAATGTATTTTTTATTACTCAGGATCTTTTGCTGTCATTTCCACGTCTTTGTGCACTTTGTCTGCTACTAGGACAGTCTTTTAACCATGTTGGCTATAGACCTCTTAGTCAGAGTCTGTGGGAAGTGATTAATGATGACAGCATGTTTTTTTTTGTTCCCCAATTAGTCTTTTGTCGCTGTTCTCATAAAGGAAAAATTTAGATTTCTAGATAGTGATATAAAGCCTTTGTTGAGCTTTTAATACAACTTGTGTAGTGTTCTTTTGAATGCATGTCCTTGTATGTTAACAATAGAAAAATTGAAACTCTCATCGCAGACAAGTATGTATTGTGTGGTTTATCAAACGTATGAGGGGGCTTACATCATTGCTGCCACTGAAGCTTTACTGTGATGTATCTGTTCCCTCAGATGCTCAGCCCGCTGTGCAAGCTCAGTGTAAAGTTCGCACAGAAGTGGTGGAGGTCACCAGAGCCATGTTGGACCGCAGCAATGCCAACTTTCTGCTGTGGCCCCCGTGTGTGGAGGTTCAGCGCTGCTCTGGCTGCTGCAACACTAAGAGCCTCCACTGCGTTCCCGTCCTCACACACACTAGATACCTGCAGGTAAAGGAGCATGCACTAACACACATTATATAATCTCAGTTAAGGGTCTTAAAATTGCTATAATAAAACATTTTAACTGATAAATCTCAGGGTTTATTTGAAAGCTAAAAAAATGTTTCATGATTTTAGATGAAATTAGCTGGGTTTTAGATTATTTAGTCGATAATAGAGCCATTTCAGATATCTATATCAATAGTTCCTGTCCTAAGCAACTTGATGGTTTAATTAAAAGGAACCATGAAATCAAAATCTGCTTAGAGTATCCATAATGTTAATTTTCATTAAGTGTTTAATTGTAAACTATATTTAATAAACACTGTAAGAAAGTAGCCCTCACTAGAACTAAAAATAGTGTGATTTGAGTCCTCTTCATGCAGTATAAACTTCCACAGTGAAAACTGTTAAAAGGAATGCATGATGCGTTCACTGATTGGAAAAACAATACGATTCTTTGCTTCTGACCAGCCAATCCCTGTTAGGGTCAGTAAAGTATAAAATTGACCAGTTTTGGCGATGTTGGATTTCTTCGTAGATTTCTAGTTATAAGCTCTAAAAAAATTAAGCAACAACAACACAGAATTGCCTCGTAGGCTGGTCTACAGACTAAACCTGTACCTCCTGTCCTACAGTTCATTTATTTACTAAACAAACCACAAATAAGCAAACAAAGGAACAAACAAACACAGTTATATAACCGTGCCTAAATGCACCAGTACAATGTGTTTTTTGTTTCACTTTAAGTACTTCCCAGTACCTTCCATCTTCTTCTTAACCTCTCCAGGTCATGAAGATTGAGTACATCAACAAAAGACCCACTTATGCTAAAGCTGTAGTGTCAGTGGTGGATCATGTGGAGTGCAGATGTCAGACTGCTCCCCGTACCGTTGTGCTCAAGAAGAAATCCTCTCACAGACCGCACAGCCACTTGCATCGAAACCAGACGCTCAGCCCCGGACCTGCACAAGGACAGGTACATATTTTATCTGCAACGTCTCTGTTTTCAGGATAAAAGGATTAAAGCTTGATAACTGGTGTACAGCCTACATTATTTAGCCATAAATTCGTCTGTGCTGCTAAACTATCTGTTATCATTTGAGTATGTTAGCAAAAGCATTATTTGATTGTGACGGGTGGTCTTAAGAGATCAGACATGATTCCAGCAAATACCATCAAACAAATAATTAAGTCTGAGTTTTTTTCCCTTTCTTCTTTAAATGATTTATGTGAAGACCAAGACAGCACAGTGGGCGGAATTTGACTTTAATGCCTTTAGGCCCCTTTGAAAGGTTGTCACAAAGTTTAGCTGGCAGTAGGCGTGTTGTGGGGGTTGACTTGAGCAGTGGTCCATTATAACCAACAGTGTAACTGTCACATATCAGTTCTACTTTGACTTTTTCATTGTGAAAGACTCATCAACAGAGGTTGCTTAAAGAAGGACCTGTCTTAGATGCCATTTAGTGGCACTGTAATGTAAAAAAGGCCTTTTGTTGTCTTCCTGTGGCCGTTCCTTTGCAGGTTAGGGTTATTGAATGTTCTAAAGCTCCACTTTGCCACTTAACCAGTTTTGATTACTATATGATGTACACAAAAAAACTTGTATATAAGTTAATAAAGAAGATATTAAGCTTTGATTTGCTGTAGGATGATTAAGATAAAAAAAACTCATACATTTTCATTTATTGTTACTATGATGGACTTTCTTCCTTTCAATCATTTGTTATTTCAAGCAATGGACTGTCTAGCAGAGAAACAGCTCTGCCATTAAACATGATTTAGCTATTATTCTAAAACAAATGCAAAATATTTCAAGTATATATTGTAATCTTTAATGATCACCTTATATTATCTTCGATATGCCTTTAGTATTAATCTTAGCCTTATTGGTAATGTTTTAAGAGTTGCGAGAGCCTTAATTGAGATCTATAATTTCATAAAGGTTGTGAACATTTCTCAATCTAGCAGCCTTCAAAGTAGGTAGGATTGGATAAGTTCAGTATCCCTAATCTGCTGACATCAAACTCTCTGAATTAACAGCCAACATGCCTTTTAATACATAATGTTTCATCTAGAAGATTCTGAAAGGTTTTTTGAGAATTTTCTTAAGTCTGATGCATGAATAGCTGTTTTTTTCTTTACACACAGGAACAATTGGTACTTTGTACTCTGTTGTATGGTGCATTCTCTAACTAGAAAAATGGGGTTGGATGTTTAATTTATAACAGGGTTAGCAGTCAGTCCTAGTGGATTTATATATGATGCGAGGGATGCAGATTTACTTTGTAAGAAATGGGGATGTCCTGATGTCCAAAAATAATAACGGATATTGGACTGATGTTACCATAGAAACTAATATTGGAGAGTATCGCCCTGCATCTGATTCTCTTATATTGTTCAAGGTGTCAAAGTGTCAGTTGTTATCATAACTATAAATATGAAACAAATTACAATTAGTTCAAAGAATAAAAACATTTACTGCTTACTGTACCATCTGCTTAAAAAATGTATAGTTTGAACTTGAGGCAACTGCTGCAAAAATCTTTAATTTTGCTCTTCAGGTCAAAGTGCACTCAAAAGAGGAGCTCCACCATTTGGATGAGTTGAAACAAAACCAGAGGGCTCATCTGGAGGATCTCTCGCAGCACTGGGACCCCAGAGGAGACACCTTTCCTCAGCCTGAAGGGTACAGTCTGACTGAAGAAGACACTTCTCGATCTGAGGAGGCAGTGTTGATTTCTTCACACTGGGCTTACAATTTCACCAAGCTTCTTGGGACTGAACATCATACTGAGGCCCAGGAAAATGGGGAAAGGAAGAATGTTGAGGTTTCTAAAGACAAATCTGAACCCTTTGTGGGTATTGTAGGCATGGAAGCAAAGTTGGGAGAAGATGGGTTCAACAGTACAGAAAGGAATCCTAAAATGGGACACAAAGACACACAAACTCACAAAGCCATGTTCAATAATAGTGAGGAATCCCTCAATGAAAGAGTAAGGAACAGGTTCAGACCAACCAAAGAACCCAACCCAGACCCTCGAGAGCTGGCAGGAAGGAGAGAAAATGAGACTCCTGACATGGAGAGGATGTTACAAGTCCAGGAGGAAAAATTAGAGGCAGAGAGAAAAGAGCTTCTCCTTCTTCACAAGAGGTTGGATGAAGAGAAGGAATTACTGCGGCAACAGCAGATAAAACGGGAGGAAGAAGAAAAGGTTAAAGACAAGGAGTTCGACAGTCAACATCTCCAACATAGAAAACATCATCATCTGCATACAACCACACCAAAACCAGGTAAGAAACTAATATGAAGTCTCTAAATTCAGAAGAGGAAAATAAATCAGTAAGTTAATTCGATAGTCTCTTTCTTTATTTCCACTCTACAGAGACAACATCCCCAACCACGCAAAAGCCATCACCCACGAAAGACCTCCAACTGCCCATTCGTCGAAATTCTCCAAAAAGAAGAAGATTAAGAAAGAATCGCAAAAAGATCAGCAAGGCAGCAATGAGAGCGATGCTCATGTAGGACTGAAATGTCAGGTGAGCTCAAAGTAATAAATGGATGTATATCATAACCAGACATGGTCACTGGTATTAAAGTTTCCATGGTTACAGAGATCATGGTTTAATGTCCTTTTAACTAGAAGCAAGAAGATTGTTTAAGACTATATCAAGCAAACCCTACTCCTAATCCCCTGCGCACTGCTGTTCAGCTGGCTGATGGAACTTTTTGTGAAAAAGGCCTATTCTGCTTTTTGTCTCCGGACTGGCATTGCATAGAAATGTAAAGGAGTACAACTAATTTCTTCTTTTAGAGCAACACAGTTTTCAAAACTACAACTGAGAAGCTCCGATTGCATATCTGCAGCTGCATGATGGCAACCTGAGTAACAACAAGACTAATAAACAAACCAAAATCAGACATTAGACTAAAGGGGTCTGTTTCACAAAGCGGGTTTACTGAAAACTATAAGTTGTCTAAACCTGAAAACAGGGAAACTCTGACTTTTCCGATTTACAAGGAGAGTTTATTCAACCTCTGTTTCAGTCGTCATAGTAACATTCTCCCTAGAGAACCTGGTCAGCATTAGGTTTTCTTCAGTAAACTATGTCCACTGTCTCTGCTCTCATTACAGCCAATCAGGTTTTATTTCCCGATTTTGTCAGATTTTTGTCATACTTTTCTGCATAAAAAAAAAAAAAATATATATATATATATATATATATATATAGATATATATATATCTATATATATATATATAAACCGATACCAAGTAAAATATTCGATACTCGATGTCATTTTCGATACCACATGGATAAAAACAAAGACTCCAAAATTCAACAGAAATGTTTTCATTAATAAAAGAAATACAATAAATAGATAAATAAATACAATAAACAATATTTTAAGGTTGTATGCTGTGCACAATTCTAAGCAAGCTAAAATTAAGTGTACCTTCCTTGGCTATGCTTTACACACATAACAATGACACTAGCCAAACCAGTTAAAAAACAAAAATAATTCTCAGCAGCTGCACCTGTTACAGAAAAAAGTCTGAAACCGAAAAGTGCGCAGAATTATTCAATCACACAGTGTAATGTATCAATACTTTTTTGAGTATCGATACTTTTGACAACCCTAATATATATATATATATATATATATATATATATATATATATATATATATATATATATATATATATATATCAATCATTCATATATCTTCCGTTACATACCTTTGGTTTTTAAGACAAACATTGAATGTCCTTTTGATTAGGATCTTATTAAAAAATTATCGGCACTTTTTCAAAGAGAATTAAATTCATTTATAGGGAGAGGATTCTACAACTCAGTTAACCGGGCATGAGATTTATTTTTTTTTATTTGTTTAATATGAGCGAGATGCAGATCATTTTATTTTTATTTAGTTATATTTACAGTACATGAAGAATTACTGAAATTATTTTTTAGATTACACGTTTTTCAAATTTTAGAAATACATTTTCAATCATGCTGATAAATGTCAGAACGGACACTTAAAATGTGTAACCATTTCTAAAATTATCAATCTTAGTTCTTACTCGTATAATTTTGTTTTCTTTACTTTCTACATTTAAATTTTTGGTCCTTGCATTAATTTCAACCCAGTTTAACAAACCTTTGTAAGTCTTAACTATCTACAGTACCTACGTGCAGAAATATTGCAACTGTTTAACATTTATTCCTTTATTTCATCCCCAGGGATACATGGATGACTTGTTGCAGGTTGGGAATTTCCCCAAAGTGAAGCCAGTTGACTCCTTTGTTTTATATATTTATTATTCTGTAACCTGGTTTGCCAGTGAGATCTCCATGGTAACACTACTAATGACTGTCTCCTGAACCTGTAACTGTCTCTTGATGGACTTCAGCACAGATTAAGAGGAAAAGGGGAATATAAACAAAGGATGAACCTGCTCAGGAGAATGCCTCCCTCTCTAAAAATGTGATCATCTAAAGTAACAAATCGCACCCAAAGACAAATAAAGTGCACAAGCACAGTGACTGTGTGGGACTGAAGAGGTATCTCTGTAGAACTGTGGAAAATAGTGCAATTTCTGTGGATGCATGCTTAGATATCATCAAAGAGAGACACTGCACTTAAATGTTGACAACCTAGACTGTATGGGATGTTTTCGGTAGATGTTACAATACCACTGGCACAGTGAAATACAAAGTCTATTCAGTGAAAAAGTTAATAAAAATGTTTAAAATGTTTTTTGCTAAAAGTCAGGTATTAATCTTTGAGACAATCATAATGAATCTGCAAAGGGTGCAGAATACTCAGCGTGATGTCGATCATCCGCTCAAATAACCCAATGATGGTCTCTGTTAACCATATTTCATTATATTTAACTCATTGCAAACACTGGAATAACAGATATGGTTAGAAAACAGAAACAGAGTGAAGTGCCTTGCAAAAGTATGTCACAATCACAAACTTCTGTGTAATTCATGTGAATTCTGACAGATGAACACAAAGTAGCGCATAGTGTGAGGGATTGCTTTTGAATCAATGAGGTGATGCAATCAGCTGGTTTTCTTTAGATAGAAAACTTTGAACGAATCTGACTGTATGATCTGGTTGAATTCTCTCTGTAAAGTGCCTCAAGATGACATGTTCTGTGAATTGGCACTATGGAAATAAACTGAATTGAATTCATAATAATTTAGAGAAATTGAAACTGTAATTTGATTTGAACTTGTACTTGTTTTTCAACAAATACAAATAAAAAAAATTGTAATATATATATATATATATATATTTTTTTTTTCAGTTGTGCTTGAAAGTTTACATACCCTTCCGTTAAAAACAGCCAGTAAAATCGATTGAAAATATAAAAGTAATACTAAATTCAAATAGTAAAAAAAAGGTAAATGACACGATTTTAAATATTTATATATATGTATATATATATATATATATATACATATGTATATATATGGAGCTCCTGAACTAAAATTTTGTTGAGCAACATAATGTACTGTAATGTTCATGACTTCTGCAGCTGTTGACAGGTATGTTGGTTCACTGTTCATAAGCAAGGTACTTTAATTTGTCTCAGTTTGTTTTGTTTTCATATTTCAAACAAGAATTCAAAATTAAGATTTTAGTTTCATGAAATTATTAACTAGCAAATTTTTATTTATTATTAGATTTACAGTTTTGCCCTATCTCCATTACTAGTGTGAATTTGTACACTTTCAAGCACAATCTATATATAGATATATATCTATAAATATATAGATATATATATCTATAAATACATATATATATATATGTAATTTAATTAATTGTTTCATAACCTAAGTCAGCTTAAAACTTAAGAAAAGGCTCTCATACAACAGATTTAGTGGGAATAAATATGATTTCTATGTGTTTCCATCAATTTCAGAACTGTGTACTGCTTTGTGTTGATCTGTCACCATAAACCACCAAACTCATCAATTGTTTTACTTTGAACGAAGATGGAAAAGTTTGGATGCATGAATACTTTTGTAAGTAGCTGTGTGCCAATAAAATTTCTGCTGCAGAATCAATGCTACATATATACATGTGAGCTTACTGTGTGCTATGTTTCTTATTTATTTGTCTTTACCGTAGTTTAGATTGATGTTCTCAGACATTTTCTAAATCTCTTTTGCTGGGTGGTTTAAACAGGTGCTCAATCTGAGGAAATTTGTTTCCAAAGTGTCCAAACTCTCCACGACATCCCTGTCTTATGTGTTGTTAAACATCTGTCCAGAAAAGGTGTGCATTGTTGTTTTGCATGTCTAAATATCTGGTGTTATTTGCAATTATGATCTTGTGAAAACACCTAAACTATGTTATTTCATAGGTATTTCTTTGGCCCCTTCTATATTGAACTTGTAAAATAAAACGTCTAATATTGTAAAACCCCAGCTGTTCTCTTAGAATATAAAATTTTATATAAATTCCTTTGACTGAAAACAAGAAAGGTCTCATATTTTGCTATTGAGATGGTAAAAAAAACCATTGATGTAAATTTGTGAATATTTCCAACTTTAATAACCTCTTAAGTTATTGACAACATTGCTTGACATATTATTAATGCCAATTTACAACTGTTACTCCTTAATGTCTGTTTTAATATATGAAATTGTGAAATAAGAATGTTTGTCTATTTTCATATGAGAATCTTAAAGGCATGAAATTATAATTGTTTTTGCTCCTTTTTTACTATGACCATAATTTTCTTCTTCTTTTTCAATTTATCTACCGTATATAGTGCCAGTTTGCCACACTACATGTCAAGCACTCTGCAGAGTCAACTCAATTAAATCACATGGAATAGGGCAGACTGGGGTTTAACATCATCCCAGGAGATATGTCTGGAGAGGCATTTTAACCGATTACAAAATAGATGCAAATAAAATATATATATTTTTATATTTGCATATCTGCATATTTTATATGGCTCCTATTATAACATTGCCTAGGTATTTTACATTGGCTACTCGCTAAATCAAGGTTGGAAAACAACCCATCGCCTGACAGTACGTGTAAGAATTCACTTTCAGAAATTATTGAGGTTATTTTAAATTGGTAGAATTAATAATGAAATAATAATACATTTAATTTATACTGCACTTTCCATCAAAATGTCTCAAAGTGCTACAGGTAAAAAGAAAAAAAAGCATGAAAAACCTCTAAAGGGGAGCAAAAGCTTTGCTAAAAAGAAATGTTTTAAGGTCTTTTTTTTTAAAAACTCAGTGGAAAGAGGTGTCCTCAAGGTGACAGGGAGGGCATTCCACAGATGTGGGGCAGCAGCACAAAATGCTCTATCTCCCATTGTCCTGAGTCTGGTTCTGGGAATGTGGAGGAGGTTTGAAAGAGTTAAGTGAGGTTTCAATGTGCTCATGTTTCTCATCAGGATCCTAGCTGTAGAGTTCTGAATGTACTGAAGCCTCTGCAGACTCTTTCTAGGGATGAGAAGTTCTTTGCAATAGTCCAGTCTGGAGGAGACAAATGCATGAACCAGCTTTTCGGCATCT